TTCTCAGCTGCAAGCCTAAGAAGGGATAGAGTGACTACAATAACTCACGGAACAGCAAGGAAGAAAAGACAGGGTTTAGTAAGTAACTGAATACAATTCTTCAGTCACTACTGACTCTGGAGAACACAGGCTGGAAGTGAGGAGGCTGGGTCTGCTCCAGCGCATTGCCTTAGAAATCTGTGGCTGGACAGGGCGGGGACCCTCCCTGAGCATACTTACTCGCCCAGCAGCAGACCAGATGCCAGATACAAGGGGAGGGCTACACAAAGTTCGTGGAAAATGTCCATTTCCCCACACACCTTTGGAAGCCCCCTGGTAGGTGGACTGACTGGCCCTAGATCTATTAAAAGTAGTTATTTACTGTTCACGCCAAGCAATTCACCAGCAGCTCTTTAAAGCAGGGGAGATTTCAAAAACAAACAAACAAGCAAAAGGATGTGCACAACTTTGCAATCACATGTGATTCATTCAGTCTTAGAGGATGTGATGGTAACTACTCCCTCCACTTGAGAACCAAGGAGCTCTCGTGAGCTGACTGACCACAACCAGACCGTGGGAACTGGAAGTCCAACCACGAGGAAACTGCTGGTCACCACAGAGACCCGATGGAAGAGGCGCTCTAAGAGCTCCTTCCCTACTGGAGGGAGCTCAGGCGTCGAGTACTTGCTTTGGGGTGGCGTTCTCAACCCTATTGCAGTTGGTTGGCACAGCTTCAGGGATTCCTATGCTGTCAGAAAAGAATTCAGGGGACCCTGAAAATTGTAAGCACTATTTACAAACCAATTAATGGAATCAACTCACTCTCTAAGTTCCCAGGACATCTCTACTGTGTCCTAAGATAAACGGTTTATATTTATAACGGAAATGACCTTTCCCACATCTCTGCAAGTTAGGCAGGCTCCACTCAATAGAGACAGAAGGCGTGTGTATTGTGTAACGCAGTGTCCGGTACTCAATTCCCATGTCTCCACATCCGAGAAGGCAGGCAGATCGTGGAGGTAGCTATTGACTTGGGCAACTCCATTCTAGAAGTGTCATACACAGTGATTGGACTTATACTGCAATAAAAAAGGCAATTTCTGAACAGAAATGAGGCCCTGCCTTGGGGTAGGGTTGGGGGCTCTCACTTGCTGGCAGAGCCATTCCAAACTCTGCTTGTGGGGTAGGGGCACCCTGCTGTGTGGCTGTGACTACCTTCGCCTCGCCTTCGGCGACCCATGTGGAGCTGGGCACAAATGCTAAGAGGAGCAGGAAGTTGGTGTTCAGGTGGATCTGCAGCGGGCTCTGAAAAGATACATGGGAGGGGTTCTTCTTACTGGGAAAATGGGAGTCAAATGCACAGGCTCTGGGAGAGAGAAGTGGCATTTAGCTTGAGTAACCTGATTTGAATTCATAGGTACGGTCATGCTATGATCAGGCTGCAGCATCACCTCAGGTATACATGAATCCAAGGGGCTCAGGGTTCAGCCTTGAGCTGGCTGGCCCGTTGATGGTTTTCCCCAGACTTGCCAAAGAGTGTCTGTCTATACTTTCAGATCTGCACTCATTCAGACTAGGAAGCGGATATAAAATTGCAGTCTTCAGGTTGCAGAAGTTCTCAACTGCATATCAAGAGACAGTAAGGAGACCACCACCTCCCACCCCATCCCACCTTGAGTACCTCTAAGTAGTCCAGTAGTGGGGGGTGGAGGGGAGATACTCATTCACAGTCATTGACTGAGTTGATGGCTGACTCCTAGAGACCCCACAGGGCAGGTTAGAACTGCCCCAGGGTGTTTCTGAGGCTGCAATTCTCTGCGAAAGAAGAAAGCCCCACCTTTCTAATCTAGAGTGGCTGGTAATTTCAAACTGCTGACTTAATAGTTAGCTACCCAAGGCATAACCACTATGCCACCAGGGCTCCTGGTGGAGATACATGACTTAAAAACTGTGTATAGATTTATATCTGCTGATATTGTGAATTTCCACCAGGGATACGCAGTACTTACTATTAAATCTGTTTCCCCAAGAATGTATTTATTGTTATACAAGTCAGTTTTCCTGATTGCAAAATACATGCATACAAAATCATACACATTTTGAAACTACAGCAGCATACTTGTAGCACTGCAAAAAAAACCAAAACACAAATAGTTAAACCTATATCTCAGCCCCAAAAGATCATCTCTGTTAACATCTGGATGTATCTCCTTCTGGATGTTTGCTTTTTGCATACACAAGGTATTTCACATACATTACTTTTGTAGCCAGAAAACAAGAAATAATTGCTAGCTAGAAGCAGAATACCAAGATCCTTTTCTGTTTCCAATTCCCTTCCTAAATAAGGCAGCCCAGGGGCAAGGAGCCACCAGGGACGTTTGCTTTGGCCTTTCATTCGCAAAACACAAACACAGGGGCCACTGACTCTCAGAGACACCTGTAGAGCCAGGCTAGCCAGGTGCCAGGGATGTATCTGGATGCTTGGACGGGCAGGTGAGTGGGCATAATGACCCAGCAAGAGGCACTTTTATAAGGGAGAGGGGGGTGGGAATTCTTGTGGCTAGAATGATTCCTCACAGCAGCCAACTCAAGGGCTGAGGGGTGACTGACTCCAGGCGTACTGGCCGGGCACCAGTTGCTGCCTGTCCAGTTAAAGTGTGACAAGTTGTGTCTCCCAGCCCAGCGTCACTGCAGCCACTGCCTGTGATGGGATGCCCCCTCATCCTAGATCTTCAGCTTTATATCGAAGCAGAACTGTGTAGGAGCAGAGGCTGTGCACCATCTGTACCACGGGAGGCTGGGCCAACGTGAGAGCCCGTGCTGGTGAGGGCACTGCAGGGGCAGTGAATTATCTAATTGGGCTCTAGCACTGCCTCCAACTCCCACCAAACAACCTTGACTTGCACGGGTCTGATAAGAAGGCGTGGGAAGATACTGATAGGATTCAACTATGATTGTAATGGCAAACAGGATTCCCTGGGGTGCCATTCAACTGTGTATAAAATGAGCCCTCTAAGCAGCGAGAGGAGGGAATCTCATTACCAGCAAGAGCTAGGCGTGGAGCCAGTCCTCTGGACCGGAGTTCCCTGCGCAGGCACCTCCTGGATCCTGATGGCAGCTACACCATCAGAGGAGCAGCAGCACAACCGGGAGCCAGAGCGTGCAACAGAGCACTGGATTTTCCCACCCCACGGAGCAAGTTGAGTGCTTTTGTGCAGGAGGCTGGTTTGCCGAGTGGGTGCCTCTGGGAATTACCTGGGTAAGTTTGGTGTGCTGACCCATGGAAGTGGAGCTGAGTGTCTTTGGGCCGAGGGTTACTGGAGTGGGGGCCTCCAGGGAGCTGGGTTTGCTGAGCCGGAGCTTGAGCTGAGTGTCTTTGGGTTGAGGCTCACAGCAGAGAGGCATGATGCCCCTTTGGGCATTTATGAACAGACCTGAAACTCGGTAACGCGTCCTGGTCAACAACTACCCTGAGCATTTCTCACTGGCCTTACAACTTGTTAACTTCCTAAGAAACCCTTTAATCGGGCATTTTCTTTGTGAAATCTGAGTGACCACTCTAATGAATATTACAGCCCAGAGGTCAAGAAGAAAGGTAAGATCAGACCAAAACTCACGGCCATCGAGTCAATGCCGACTCACAGCAACCTTAAGGGCCAGGACAGAACTGCCCCTGTGAGTTTCTGAGATGGGAACTCTTTACAGGAGTCAAAAGAAAGGCCCATCTTTCTCCCAAGGAACAGATGGTGGTTTTGAACTGCAGGCCTTCGGGTTTGCAACCCAGTGAGCTACACATTATGCCACCAGGGTGGAGCACACTGGGACTACACAGGAGTCCCATGCCACTCCCAGAAAGTCTCTGTGGCCAGGTGCCAGGAGGCCCAGGGGACCAAGTCAAACATGGTGCCCGTCGGGCCCAGCAAGGGGCGAACACACAACTGCAAAGCCGGCCTGTGGCCCTTCAGGGGCAGGCAGAGGGGGACAGGGGGTGTGGGCGCCGGCCCTCCTTGAGGGGCCCAGAAAGAGAAGGCAGCGGCTTCCAGATCCTGGCTTGCAGGGGGCGAGAGCCAGGGTCCCCGGCAGGTGGGGACATCTGGGAGATGATGGTGAACGCTGCTCTGGTTCAAACGGCCTAGGGGGCTGGGGAGCGCAGGGGTGGACACTCACTCCCCAGATGGCCCATGGTCTCTCAGGATGTAGATGCCACTTCAGTGGCTGTCAAATCTCTGAAGGCGGTGTAGCCTCATTTCTTCTTCTGGCGAGAGGCGGAACCCGTAGGGCGGCGAGTTACTCCTGGCATTCCCTGTGGCGAAAGAGCAAGGGGAAAATCAAAAGCTGCCTTCCCCCGGTTTGGTGTCTACCTGCCACTGGCACCTGGGTCTCCCGGGGGAAGGCGGGGAACCGGGGGACGGCTCTGGTGTCGCCTGTATTTTAACACGAAACAAGAACGGGACAAACACACTTCAGCTTCCGCCATCAAGATGTCAGTGCGGCACTTGCAGCGTTGGTGGGGCCCACGGTCCTAAGTGAACTCGGAGTGCCTGCGGCCGCCGCTGCCCTCGGTTTCCCTTCCTGCAGGGCTCTGCAGCTCTCACCCTTTCGCTCCCGTAAGCTCTCAGGCCTGGGCTGGGAGGTGACTTGTCACCCATTCATGATTTCCCCACTCTGCCACCTGGTGGGCTCCCTACCCCCCACCCCTGCTACCTCCTGCACCAACCAGCCAACTGGAAACCTGCCTGTCAGAGGTGGGCAGGGCTAGCCAGGTCACGCAGCGGGGCTGGAGGACATATGCACAGGTTATCGGGAGCCTTGGGCAGCAATGTGGCCGTGCCAACCGCTATCTGAGCGGTGGACATACACACAGACGCGATACTTACCAAAGGCAGGTGGACATAAACGCAAACGCGGAAGTTGCCAAAGGGGTTGGGGCTGCAAGCACACCCACAACATCGCTGCTGCTGTGAGGTGCCATGGGGTCAGTTCTGACCCACAGTGACCCCCATGCCTGAGCCCAGGGATGCAGCCCCTGTGTCCCTCCATCTTGTTGAGGGCCTTCTTGTTTTCCCTGCCCCTCCGCTGTACCTGTACCGAACATGCCATCCTTCTCCAGGACTGGACTTAGGTTCCAGTGAGGGCCACTGCGCTGGCTCCAGCTCATAGGCACCGCAGGCACAGCAGAACAAAGCACTGCCTCGCCCTGCACCATCCTCACAAGTGTTCCTATCCATCTTCCTCTTTACCGCTACCCCTCCACTTTACCAGGCATGATGTCCTTCTCCAGGGACTGGTCTCCCCTGAAAATACTGTCCAGAGTATGTGAGACAAAGTCTTCCCATCCTTGCCTCTGAGGAGCACTCTGGCTGTACTTGTTTTAAAACAGATCTGTTTGTCCTTTTGCCAGGCCATGGTGCTTTTAACATTCTTCCCCAGCACCACAACTCAAATGTGCCTGTGCTGCTTCATCCTTCTGAATTCACTGTCCAACTTTCCCATGCACAGGATGCAACGGAGGGTACCACGGCTGGGGTCAGGCACACCTCAGTCCTCAAGGTAACACCCTTGCTCTTCAACACTCTAAGAGGTCTTGTGCACCAGACTTACCTAGTGCAACACATCTTTTGATCTCCTGACTGCTGCTTCCATGAGCATTGATTGTGGATCCAATTAAGACAAAAACTTTTGACTATCCACTCTTTTCTCCATTGATCATGATATTATCTATTGGGCCAGTCGTGAGGGTTGTGGTCTGCCTTACATTGTGTTGTAATCCACACTGAAGGCAACAATCCTTGCTCTTCATCAGCAAGTGCTTCAAGTCCTCCTCACTTTCAGGAGGCAAGTTGTGTCATCTGCATACACAGGTTGTTAATAAGCCTTCCCCTAAACCTGATGTCACACTCTTTCTTCCTATACATCAGCTTCTCTGACGATTTCCTCGGCATAGAGATTGAACAAGTATGGTGAGCGACTAGAACCCTGACCCACACCTGTCCCCAATTTTAAACCACGGAGTATTCCCTTGTTAGGTTACAGAAATACGTAACTCCAGTCTGATTCTAGCTAGGCTTCTTCTAACTCATGGAAGCTGATGAACAGGAAGCGGGATGATGAAGCAGAGACAGAGGGGGCACAGGCTGGTGGATGCAGAGGCCCAAAGTCAGCCTGGGATTGGCACGCAATGAGGGACTAAATGCAAGATCCAGCTCTGGCAGGAGGCAAAAGGCCAAAGAGAGTCTGACTCTTTCAATCTCTCTCTTATACAAAAGGCCATGTACCCAAGGAGGTGCCATCAGGCTGTGACCAGTAGCCAAGAGTGTATAACTGACATGATCCTTAACCCTCACACTGCCCAATACACAATTTGAATATTAGCTGTTAGGCAATGAAAAATGAAGGCAGGTAGCTCTCCTTGTGCTCTTTGGCCTCTCCACTGGGATGGAGATCCCCAGGCTTACCCGAATCCCGTTCTCCTTTCCTCTTGGGACTCGTGGGAGGATGACATCTTTCCAAGTCCTTGTGGTCCATTGCCACAAGTAACCCAGGGTGAACAGTGCAGACCTAGCCCCAAATGCTCTCCTGTTCAGCGGTTCTCAACCTATGGGTTGCGACCCCCTTGGGGGTTGAACAAGCTTTTCACCGGGGTCACCCGATTCAAAACAGTAGCAAAATGACAGTTATGAAGTCGCAACGAAAATCATTTGATGGTTGGGGGGTCCCCACCACATGAGGACCTGTATGAAAGGGTCCCAGCACTAGGAAGGGGGAGAAGCAGTGCTGCAGCTGAAGGCATCCAGGAAGACCAAAATGTGTCCTTTTGTCAATTTTCATGAAGGACGGTATTCACCACACATGACAGGCGTATCAAAGATGCTCACCATCAAGGTTTTACGAACCCTGCAAGAATGAACGTTTCACTGGATGCCGTTGCCCCCCACATACTGTCTTTGTCAAGGAAGAGAATGTCTTTCTGTTCAGAACGAGGAATGCCGTGCGGTCGCAAGCTCATCCGTCCGATCACAAGGAGGTTGCGGCTTAAAACTGCCTGGCACACTCATGTCCCAGCCCTGCCCGCCGTGGAGCAGCATCCTTTACCAAAAAGGCTCTCCTTCTTTGCACTTCTGAGTGCCAGCCAGCGTTTGACACTCCAGATGGGTTGGGAGCTGTCAGAACTGGCCGTGGACAGAGACAGAAGCAAGCCCGACGTGGCATGCTGACTGCAGGCCAGGACACGTGCCCATGGCACGCAGAGAGTGCTCAGACTCCCAGCGCGAGTCAGTGTCCTCTGGTGTTTCCCTCGGCGGCTTGCCCGCAGAAAAGGAAGGCTGAGCACGAATGTTTCCGTGCCGGGGAGTGGAGTCAGAAGAGGCAGCCGGAGAAGGCTCCTGAGGTCCAGCCGCTGAAAGAAGCAGCCAGCACACATGCTCAAGGGCATTTGATGAGAGCAAGCGCTGAGCCGAGTGCTGCAGGAGGAACAAGCAAGGCTCTGTGGTGACAAACCCCAGTTTTACAGCAGAGGGAGCTGAGGCTCAGAGTGTTAGGGACCAAGTTCAAGGGCACAGGAGGGCAGGTCTTTCCTACCACGTCTCTCTGCACTGTGCCCAAACACTAACTCTATTACACAGAAGAGCTGGTCGCAATCACCCACCCCCCACCCATACGCCAAATGCCTGCTTTTTTCTCGGATATGTGGGGGGCTCTGCGATTCAGAGCGAGGAAAACGAGAAGGTCCCCCCTAGGCCCTCTGCCTCTATGGCAGCACTATTGCCAAAGGCAGGACGACGGCATTCCAGCGTGGGTGCAGTCTCCACCGGAGGGGGACAGCATTCCAGGGCAACCAAGTGGCCGGGGGCAGTGGCAACCAGATGGGCGGCAGCAGAAGCCTGACTTCTCCTTCGGCTTGATTTTATGGACATTTAAAATCCCATATCGATCGATGCATCACATTGATTGATTTCCTCCTAACTTTGCCCCACCCCCACACCAAAAAAACCCTAAACCCACTGCCATGATATCTTCCCCTTCAGTTAAGAAGCAAAAGAAGCAACTGCTTTAAACACACACACACACACACACACACACACACACACACACACACACACACACACTCTCACATGACCACAGGAAATAACATTTCTGCTGTCAACTGAGAACTGAGGAAGGGCAGCTGGGGGCCAGGTTGACCCGGAGGGAAAGGTTGCTTTTTTCAGAGAGCCATGCCACCGCTTGTCTGCTAGTCTGTGGCCCTGTGGTGGCTTGTGTGGGGCTGTGATGCTGGAAGTGATGCCACAGGCCCTGGCACTTCAAACGCCAGCAGGGTCACCCAGAGAGAGCAGGTTTGGGCGGGGCTTCCAGACTAAGAGCAGGCTTGGAAGGACTCAGCCGCGCACTTCAGAGGAAGGAGCCGGTGGAAAGCTACGCCCAGCTCCGAAACACAGGCAGAGACCGGAGGCCACACGAACGGAAGAGCCACTGTGAGGATTGCGCGAGACTGAGCCATGTTTCGCCACAGGTTGGAACCTGCTTGATGGCACCGAACAACAGCAAGACACGCCTGTAAAGCTCCCAAACCACACTCCTGAAAGGATGCTCCCCAGGTCTTCTCACTTACCAATGGAGGCCACATCCCAGGTCTTCAAGAGCTGATTGCAAAGGGGGTGAGCACGTGCCTGTGTGAGAGCACTGAGACCACTTGACCAAGGGACAGCTACTCCCTTACCTCCCTAACTCCACCCATCCATCCTCTTTCTCCCTCTGGACCTGCAGGTATCACGTTCATACAGAGGGATGCTTCATCTTGTGAGAAGAGGAACCTTCACACGTGACTGAGAGAGAAAAGACGTTACACCTCGTGTGCCCCCACCAACCTCGTCAGCAACAGCGGGGGCTTGACCTTCTAAAACAGGGGTCCACGCACCTGATGTACCTCTGTACCTCCTCCCCACTCCAGCTGCCTAATTTCGTGGTTACTCCCTGGGCTGCTAACTGTAAGGTCAACAGTCCAAACCCAGCAGCAGCAGCTCTGCCAGAGGAATCCCCATCTTATGTACAACTTCTACGTGGCACTCCAGATCCATTTCAGAGTCTAGGTTGTAACGGGGTCCTGGACCCCGGCCACACTGTCAACTGACAAGACACAGACCCTTGGACACCAAAGAAACAAACTCTCTGCCCTGAACTGTAGAGAGCCCCGTCTTTCTTGTGCAGAGTGGCTGGTGGTTTCTGAACTGCTGACCTCAGGTGCATCACAGCCCAACGTATAACCACTATGCCACCAGAGCTCTGTGGGGGCTGCTCAGACAGTCC